CTCTCATTGTATCTCTTGTGGCTCTCATTTGGGTTTACCTCATTGCTTGCAGTGCCTTTCGCAATAACCAGACAGAAGAGCTCTTTGATCGCTACAAGAGGCCCTTCACCTAGTGAGAGAGAGGATCCACAAACTTCTTGTGTTTGGAGTTCTTGTCTGTATTTCATATTGTTTCTGTAACCTAAGCTCAGTATGGACATGGCACCCAAGTAAATACTAGTCTCTACACTTTTGTTGAACTGCTTTTGTTTGTTTGTGAATTACACGAAGTTTAAGCTAGTGTAACTCTTTCCCTGTATTTCTCATCCATGTACATAAGACGATTATGACAGCAAAAATTAGTAGGTTTGCACTTCTTTCTCTTTCCTCGTTTTCTTTTCTTTCTTTTGGCTTTGGAAGGTAGTGCATGCTTTTTTTAAAGTGTTAAAAAAGATTGAATATTGTACTTGTGTTTAGTATGTTTTTGTTTGTAACATATCGAGGAAATATAGAATTCATTGCAAGATTCATAAAGGGATTTGATGGAGATTATATAGCTTTATAAACTTGGTCACTTTTTCGTCGCTAATTCGCACACGAAATCCTCGAAAGTTGCGCTGGTGATCGCAACCTTGGTGCCAATCTTTGAGCTTGATGGAGATGATGTGGGAGTGGCTCTCTCTAAGTTAGAACCTCCACACCTCCATGGTAAGCTGAATAAAACTTGGGTTTTTTACTGTTTTTAGAGGGGAAATTATAAAAAATATATCTTAATTTTTATTTAATCAGAAAAAAAAACTTTATATTTTTTTTAATTTCACCTAAGTTTTTTTTTTTATTTATAAAAAATAACATTCACGATAGTCGTATGACAGTGATGGTATATTTCATTATGGTGCTTTTAAGTACCATAATGCATGACAGTGATGGTATGTCTCATTACGGTGCTTTTAAGTACCATAATGCTAAAAGACATCATTATGATACTTTATGCGCCATAATGCTAAAGGGATTCATGCCCATCTGACTCATGACTTTCGGTTTTTGACAGGTCTGCTTCATCAGAGACCTTTTTTCTCTTTCTACCCCTGTTACCCTCCTCATTACTCTCTGACTCTTGCACTATCTTCACCCTCTTTCTCTGATCATCATCACTAAAATCTATATCAGCAGCATTGGCAAGAGCTGATACATCGAAGTCATAGGCCAAATCTGCCCGGTTTTCATTTTCCTTGGTGTATAAACAACTACTTGTTTGTTGTTTTCACTGAGATTGTGAAGGTGAATTGAACGATAGCTACCGACCGCAAAAATTTGAACCAGAGGACCCAAGTTCAAAATTTGACAAAGATCTTTGGCAACCCCAATTGATCAAGAGTGCAGAGATGGGTGGGTTGGTCAGAAGATTGAAGAAGCTGGTCTGAAACTTTCTTCTCTCTAAAACGGGAGATGGGGTAGCAAGAGTACCATATGGAATGGGAAGCTAAGACATGGGCTATGGTCTTAAAAGCATATAGAGAATCGGCATCCGATGTGGAAGGCAAGATGAGCAATGGGTTAGAGAGTGAAAGAGATGCAGAGGATTTTAATTGGTCATAGAATGATTTGATACGGCAATCTCCTACCATTGTTTCTCAAAAGAGAACATGCAAACCGTACAAATAGATGTCTCTCTCAAGACCCAACATCAAAATCATTAAAATGCATTAGCAGAATACAAAGAAAAGAGGTTTCTCACTCTAAACAACAATCTGATTCAAAAAATGGGGGTTTCTTTTGTATTGTGGGGAATTGAAAGTAACAAACTGTGAAAACAAATGGAAAACAATCTGGGTTTCTCTCACTAGATGTGGCATCCAAATTCGTCAAAATTTGGGATCATTATCGCTCTTTGAGAAAAAAATTGCCAATGCTAATAAAAAGTTCAAGTACAATCTTGATAAAAGGATTGCACTTAAGATAAACTGAGTGGCATGAAGCCCTTTGGCATCACGGTACTTACAAGCATCATAATGAAGCCCTTTAACATTATGGTAGTTAAAGTACTGTAATGAAACATTTTAGCAGTATTCAATTAAAAGATCACTTTTGGTACAAAGTCCTCATCTCTAAGTATGGTGTGGACAGATTTGGTGTTTGGTTGGGGGTTGGAAGAGGAAATGACAGATCTCAGATATGGAGATTGATTGCAAATTGTAAAACTATGATCTTGGGATATTTTAGATGGAATCCAAGAGATAGTTGTTAAATTTCCTTCTGGCACCATAGATGGATTGGAGACTTTCCTCTATAAAGTCTATTTTCCCTGATCTGTTTGGGATAATCACAAGGTCGAATATGTTAGTCAGTGAAGTTGTGGATAGAAGGGCAATAATCTCTTGTGGAACATTCAGTTGGCTTATAGCTGGCTGAATAATGTCATTCTCTCCTAATTGTGCTCTCTTATGGAAAAGCTAGATATGGTCTATGTTTCACAGAATGCCAGGGATGAGTTGGTTTGGAAGAATGAAAGTGATGGTGTTTTCACTATCAAATCCTGTTATAGTCTATTCTTTCATGATCAATGGAGAAAGTCATGCCCCTAGAAGATTGCTCAGATTTAGAAGTGGTCGCTACCTCATAAGGTACAAGCATTCATCTAGTTGGTTGCTATGAATAAAGGTTTGACCATTGACAATCTGATTAAAAAGGGGAAAATTTTACCTAATGTATGCCTTCTTTGCAAAGCTGATGGTGAATCTGGTGCTCACCTTTTCATCCATTGTTCTTTTATGGTGAGAATCTGGCATTAGTTGCTCAGTGTTTTAGGTATTAGCTTAGCACTTCCTTAATCGGTGGAAGGGGTAGTTTCAAAAGTATTCATTCCTCATTTACCCACGGTGGGTAAGGCCTTATGGAATATTGCTAAAGGTGTGATCCTATAGGAGGTTTGTGATATCCACTTGCCTTATATTTAAGGCCAAAAAGTGGATCCCATTTGTTCCATGAGGGACCATAGGATTTGGAATACCCGCATATCCATTTCGCTGAGAGATGCAATTTCCAATATTACGTCTTTCAGAAATCAAACATATCATTAAAGCTCATCCTTTTTCTCTATTCCTCAACTATGAAGATCTTCCTCTCTCTCACACACACCTTCTCCATCATCTCATAAACCTTAAAGAGGTATCGCAAATTCCATTTATATGATAGAGTTACTAGAAAAATTAAATAAATATTGTAATTGGGACAATGAAAAAATGAATGAGAAAATTAAACGCCTTTTTTTATTTTATTTTTTTACTTTTTTAACTTGCATGGGTCTATAGGCTTTCCATATATATGGGGATTTATGGGATTAAGATTTTAGATGGGGTGCATACGTCTTTTTCTCTTAAAAATACAGGGATAAAAAAAAAACAGAATTTTATTATAGGGTTTTAGTTTAGGACACGGTTTCTATGTGGCCAGCCTTCATATTGTAGAAAGGCAGGCTTGAAAATAAATATATTTTTAAATATAATTTGATCCTAATTTTTAAAGAATATATAATCTTCAACATGGAGATCATAAATATGAAAAAAAAATAAAAAATTGAAAACTAGAAATAATAATTATATCAAGAAACCATTTGGACTATTAATTACAATTGTTTTTAGATGGACCACCTATTTACATCCATCTATGCTTTATGGGAAAGGTTTCTATGCTTTCCATACAGCATAGAAGTTCTATCCTCCCCTACTATCCAACCGTCTATTTTTTATCAAGAGAGCCACTCACTGTTTGATCTTAGATCTGACGTGTCAAAGTATTTTATTTTTAGTTTTTTTTATACAAATTGTACATATATGAAATTTTGTACGTGTCATTTTCTCATTGGGGTGTACTTATAAAAAATATTAAAAATAATTTTTTATAAAATATAATGACCAAAATTCCCCTTGAAAATATATTTTTTATATTTTTCGCAAGTGCGAGTTTAACAAAGGAATGGACGTCCAAAATTTGGTGTCAAAATACTTTATAGAAAAAAATTAAAAATAAAATAGTGTAGAGACGTGACATTGTGATTGGGGCAATCTTAGCCCTCCATTCACAATAGACAGTTGGATAAGAGGGAGGATATGACTTCTATGATCTCAATCCTATATATATATATATATATACCAAAAGTAGTGGAAGAGGATATAAAGAGGATACAAAGATGTAAGATAATAATAAAAAAGAGTAATAGACAAAACATATAATTCATATATATGAATCTTTTCTTATAGACCATAGGAACACAAATTAATATGATAGAGAATGTCCTAAACACAATAAAACCTCAACACCAGGAGAAGAAAAAAGAAAGAGATAAGGGGGAAGTTTTATTCAAACCACCTCCTAGTATTACAGTAGGAAAATTTAACCTACAAGGAATCAAAAGGAAAGAGGATAATAAAGAATTAGTAAATGAATTGGTAAAACGACTTGAAAATTAGATATAAAAAGAAAGACAAGTGTACAAGTACTTCAAGAAGATAAGTTTTTCAACTCTGGAGATATATAAAATAGAAAAAGCTTTTAAACCAGAAAGCTTAGAGATTAATAGAATTGATTATGGGAGAAAAACTAGGCTGGTTGCACCAACTAGAATGTATTATCCTGGACCAACTGCTGTAGATCTTCAGATAGAAGAAGACCTAATTCCCACTTCAGTTTTTTATTCAAGAAGATCCATAGTAACTTGGAATATAGATGGGATGTTTGAAAATCAGATTCTTGATCTAATGAAACATATGACCAGCATGTAAAGCAAGTGGGGATCAAGACCACGAAATTGCTAAAGCCATTATATATGAATTTACCAGATGGCTTAGAGGATGGTGGGATTTCCACATGGATGAGGAAGCCAAAGATCAAATTCTAAATGATGTTAAACAATATAATATAAAAACTGAGGTCGGACCAAGACAGGTGTTGGAAAATTTAGTAACTGAGGGAGATGCAGTTAACATTCTAATATATACCATTACAGTTCATTTTGTGGGAAGTACGACCTGCCAGATTTGAGGATCTACTTTCAAACTTACGTTGCCCAAGTCTCTCACATTTTAAATGGTATAAAGTTGTATTTTACTCCAGACTGCTATCCAGAGAGGACAGTAAAGCAAATCATTAGAAAGAAAATTCATTGCAGGACTTCCTAATCTTTTTGCTGAAAAGGTTAAAATAAGATTAAAAAATAAACATGGAGGAATTATACCATATTCCTTATATACTCTTGGAGAACTCTCTGCAGAGATCTGTGCTGAAGGTCTTGCATTATGCATAGACATGAAATTGAAGAGACAATTAGAAAAACAGAGAATGATGGGAAAAAAAGAATTAGGCGACTTTTGTGAGCAATTTGAGT